GTGGGGGGGGGGGGTCGGTCAACTGTGGAGCCAGCTCAGGACGCCCCAGACAGCAGGACAGGGGGACGGCCGGCACCGGCCCCACTTCAAAGCCTGCCCAGGTGACAGGGATCTGCTTCCCCGCAGGGGGCAGCCGGCCTGGCCCCACCTGGAGCAGCCCCCCCACCCCGTCTGCCTTTCATGTCCCGAAGAAGAAAGAGGGCCTGGGGGGGGACAACAAATAGACGTGGCCGAAAGTGTCTCTTTGATCACCCAAAGATGAAAAGGGACTTACCCCAAACAGCTGATGCAAATGGGCCAAGGGTCTCCTTTCACACCACCCCCCCAATACCCTCAGATCCTCTGGCAAGGGGTCCCCCCTTCCCAGAGAGGACAGCCCCCTCCCCAGCCCTGCAAGGCGGGCCCCCCCCCCGCCTTCCCCCCCCCCCAAAGAGCCCCCTCCCCACCTTTCGATAGAACTTGGATCGAACACTTTTCACACTGCTTTTACCCTGTTTCGTTTTATATCCATATTTGTTTTCATTATTTTACTATATTTTATCATCTATTTTATTGTGTATATTTTGTTTTATTTATTGTTTTGTCTTATTAATAAATCGGTGGGTTTATTAGTGCAATTAATCAGTGGGACAACTTGCCCCCCCAGAAGTTGTGAATGCTCCAACACTGGAAGTTTTTAAGAAGAGATTGGACAGCCATTTGGCTGAAGTGGTGTAGGGTTTCCTGCGTGGGCAGGGGGTTGGACTAGAAGACCTCCAGGGTCCCTTCCAGCTCTGTTCTTCTATTCTGTTTTATTATTTGACTGGCCCAAGTTTTGGTGGGGTTTCCCAAGGGGGGGATGGGCTCTCCAAAAAAGATGCTGCAGGGTGGATAATAAACCGGGTTGGGGAAAGGGGGGGGGACTACAGTTTGCAGGCTGCCGGTGCCCTGCGCAGAGATGGGCCCCAGAGGGGGGTCTTGCCTGCCACCCGCATTGATGCAAGCAGGCTGGGGGTCACAGTTAGGAATATGAGTCACCTGACAGGTATTTGGGCTAGAAATATATAAACCAGGATAAACATTTTAGTGCTATATCTTTAAGGGAATGCAAGAGCATGCAATTGGGTGTGTTTTCTCAAATGGCCATAAGATGGAGCCAGAAACCTGGTTTGTCTTAGTCTTAATCTCAGAAGAGAGTTTGTCTCCATCTCTGTTTCCTTCTGTTTGGAAAGTATTGCCGATGCTCCATTTCTTCTAATTGACTGATATTACTGGATTTAATGTAACTCTGATACTGAACTGTTTCTGACACTGGAATTTGATATTTGGATTATCCCTGGATTGAAAACTGACTGAATTTACCTGTGAATGACTTTTGGACTGCTTATTTTGGACTTTGCTTAAACCTTTCTGGAAGTAAAAACCT